TGGCCTGGGAGGCTCTGAGTTGCTCCCACGAGCAAGCTGTCCGGAGTGTTGCCATGAAACGTTCTGATACAGTGGTATGCTCGCAGGAGGACAGGAGAGTCGGCCTGCAGCCAGAGGAGCTGCAGGCTAAAGTGATCATGCCACCAAGGCTTGCAGCATTATGTCCCCCACTAAAAGGTAAGAAGGGAGAGGGAGACACACACTGCACCTTTTACACACACACTGCAGCCTCACACACATATGGCACCCCTCACACACAAACTGACCCTTACACAAACACTACACCCTTCATACACACAGCACCTCACAGACACACATAAGAAAAAGTATAATAGAAAATAGAAAAAGAAAAAAAAATCATTGTTTTAAGTACATATTTTAAAAAAAAGTTCCACTTGTGCTATAAAATTAGCTTCTGCGGCACTGGTGGGCGGTAAGGAAATCTTACCATGAACAAAGATACAAAAGTGGGCACTAGGTATTAAAAGGTTGACTACCCCTGGTCTAAGGTATTAAACTTGGGGTATTTTGACTCTTTTCATGCAACCATTTTACCACCAATCTATGCCACACTTAAAAAAAAAACAATAATAATAACTGACTGCGATTGCTGGTGATTTGCCTCTGGTGTCCCCACCAAAGGGATAACAGAGGACAAAAGTGAGGTGTGACCAGTAACGGGTGTTGTGCATGTGTGGGAAGGCTCTGTGGCACTGTATGTGGTTGGAGACTGATTGTGAGATTGTGTGTTCATAGAAGTGACTGTTTGGGGTGTTGTGTGTGCATGTAAAGGAGTCTGTGGTGTACTATGGACTGTAGTGTGTATATGTTTCCACTGGATGTAAAGTATGTGCGTCTAGGGTCTGTAGAGATTGTGTGTCTGTCTAGTGGTTGTAGAGAGAGAGAGAGAGAAAACGTGTGTATTTGTAGTACTTCTAGAGGTTGTAATGTGCATGTATGTGTATCAGGACTGTTGTGTGTGTGTGTGGGTGTATCTAGGGGCTGAAGCGTGTTACAGATGCTGTAATGTGTGTTTTTATCTATAGGGGCTGTAGTTTTTTGTGAGCAGAGTAGTTTGTGTTTCAGGGTAGTTTGTATTTGTATATGGGCTGTAGTGTGGGAGTCTGGGGCTATAGGGAGTGTTTGTCAGTCTATGTGGTGTAGTGTGTGTCTAGAGGGTGTGTGTGCATCTAGGGGCTGTAGTGTGCGTATACGTGTATCTAATGTTTATGTGTATGGACTCTAGTGTGTGTATAGGGTTACAGTGAGTTTGCATTAGGGCTGCTGTGTGTGTATAAGGGTCTTCAGGATGTATTTATGGGGCTGTTGTATAGGAGGGCATAAGGGTTCAGGCTGTAAAGGGAAACAAATAATTAAATTAAAAAAATCAAATCATACAAAAAATATTTTTAATACACTGCCATTCTTCCCCCATCATTTCCCCTAATTTAATACACTGCTCCTTTCCCTACCCCCAACTCAATACACTCCCCATCTCCCCCAAATGTCATACACTGCCCTCCCTCCCCCTCCCCAATTTAATAAACTGCCCTTCTTCACCCCTCCCCCAATTTAATAAATTGCCCTCCCTCCCCTTCTACCCCAATTAAACACACTGCCCTTCCTAACCCCCCTCCCCTAATTTAATTCATCCCTACTACCAGTTTAATGCAATACCGAAAGGTCCCCCAGGCCTCTTTTACCCTACCTAAAGTTGACCCGTTGTTTTATCAATTCCTCCAGTTCCACAATCTTCTGTGCTCAAGCAGGCTATTGTTACATTTCTCCCCTACAATCTTCTGTGCTCAAGCAGGCTATTGTTATGGTTCTCCCCGTGCCATCCAGACGGCTAGGCGTGGCCACCCCATAGGTGCCCAACAGGGGATTTGAACCTGGGTCCTTTATGTCCTGGGCCTGCTATACTGCCTCATAGGTGGCCACTTGCAGTCCTAACCCTGCAGGGTCCATGGCCCTATTGTAATGTCACATAGAAAAAGCATAATCAGAGATGAGCCAAGGTCAAGGTAACGGAGAAAGCGAAAACAAGAACTAGCCAGAGTCAGGTACACGGTAATCAGTCAGATGGGCAAACAAGACAGGAAAGGGTTAAAGATAATTTCAGAATCAGATACAATAAGGCAGTATAGCAGGCCCAGGACATAAGGTACCCAGGTTCAAATCCCCTGTTGGGCACTTATGGGGTGGCCACGCCTAGCCGTCTGGATGGCATGGGAATAACCGTGACAGTACCCCTCCTTCAGGAACGGCCTCTGGACGTGAACAGGTTCTTCAGCAGGAGTGGAGTTCGTGGCACGCAATGCCTTCTCGAACATTTGTAAGTTCTTTTTGCAGACTACAGTACCATTTGAGCCACAGGTACATTCTGGCGATATTTCTTCTTTGAGCAGGCTGGAAGTCGTGTTGGTAGTAGCTAGAACAGGAATATTTTCAGGAGGCGGTGCCGTCGTTTCTGGAGCATGAAGTAGAGGTATTACAGAGGTCTCAGTACTTTGGCTGTGTCAGTTAGCGTAGTCTGAGTACCTTTGGCCATCAGGGCCGGACTGGCCTACCGGGAAATTTCACCCAGTACACACACTCACATTGGGGGTACTGGGGAGCACAGGTCTCCTCTTACCTCTTGAAGAGGCTTTCCTTTATCCACTCGCGAGCAGCAGGTGCTGGAAATAGAACTTTCGGCAGGAGCCTGGAGTGAGTGCAGTGAGGATGGAAGTCTCTGTCCCTGCCTGACAGCCTTTACACCCAGGAAGCATGTGACCTGGCAATCAGGCAGAGCAGGGCAGCCCACATGGGTCTTCCTAAGTCTTGCTTCCTGTGTGCAAAGTGCTGTGAGAGAGCTGGAGGGAAGCTGCTGGGAAGGAGCAAGGTAGGCTCAGTGAGCAGAGGCACCCAGCCAGGCATTTTATTTTAATTGTTCTGATTCTTAGAGTGTTTATATTTGAGGGTGTAGTTGTGAGTGTGTTTGGTGTGTATTTTTGTAATGTGTGTGTCAGTATGGATCAATGTGTGTGTGTGTGTCAGTATGGATCAATGTGTCAGTATGGATCAATGTGTGTGTGTGTGTGTCAGTATGGATCAACGTGTGTGTGTGTCAGTATGGATCAATGTGTGTGTGTGTCAGTATGGATCAATGTGTCAGTATGGATCAATGTGTGTGTGTGTCAGTATGGATCAATGTGTGTGTGTGTGTCAGTATGGATCAATGTGCGTGTGTGTCAGTATGGATCAGTGTGTGTGTGTGTGTGTGTGTGTGTGTGTCTGTGTCAGTATGGATCAGTGTGTCAGTGTGGATCAGTGTTTCAGTGTGGATCAGTGTGTGTGTGTGTGTGTGTCAGTATGGATCAATGTGTCAGTGTGGATCAATGTGTGTGTATGTCAGGGAGTGTGTATGCATTAGTGATTGTGTGCCAGTGTTTGTATGGGATGCAGCATTAGTTTGTGTGCCAGTGTCTGTTGATGAGTACATGTCAGTATGTATGGGCATCAGTGACTACACGCCTGTGTGTGCCAGTGAGTATTTATTAATTAAAAATCCATGTGTCTGTATATGTTTTTTTTTTTAAATTTAAAATAAATTGAATCTTAAAAAAATTATATATAGTTTTGCTTTATCTATGTGATTTGGTGATTTGTGGGAGTATTATGCATCTATATATTTGCACAAATGTCTACTAACATATGTGTATTATATCAAAATATATATATGTTCAGCCCCCATGGTGATCGGCTGCCTGAGAGCAGAGGCAGGCATTGGGATCACTGAGGACTGAGGCAGGCAGGCTGCTGGGGGCGGCCAGCTCATTTATTGCAGAGGGAGAGAGAGGGGTGGCCGGCCCATGGAGAGCTGTGGTAGAAAAGGTGGGCAGCTGACGGAAGGTAGCAGCCGAGTAATGCAGAGCCGAGGGAGGCGGGCTGCTGACTTAGTGCCACGGCGAAGGAGTTGTAATCTCCCTGCTCTGCTCCCTTGCGCAGCTTGCAGTGATACACGGAGCTGGGTTATGATGTCACTCTGGCCCCCGGCTCACTAAACAGTGCGTGAGAGTGAGCCGAGTAGGGAAATGACAGCAGTGCTACTGGACCCCATGGAAAGCATATTCTCTCCAGCTCTCTAAAGGTAAATTTGAATAAAAGAGTAATTACTTGTGAGTGAGTGTGTGTATCTGTCTGAGTGTGTGTGTTTGTGAGTATGTCTGTGAGTGTGTGTCTGTCGGAGTGTTGGTCTAAGTGTCTGTCTGTGAGTGAGTCTGAGTCGGTCAGTAAGTGTGTGTGTTCCCTCCAATCACATGGGAAAGGTTTTTTTTTTTTTACTCACCTTTTTTCCACGCTGTGGCTGGCCCCACCTCCATGGCTGAAATCCTCAATCTTGACGATCTCAGCCAATCCAATGCTTCCTCGTAGCAAAGCATTGGGAGACTATTGCGCATGCACGGCAAAATGCCACTGCGCCAATTTACCTTCTCATAGAGATGCATTGAATCAATGCATCTGTATAGGGAACATTAATGTAGGGCTGCACAGTGTGAAGCACTGACCCAGGAAGCACCTCTAGAGGCCTTCTGAGTGACTGTCGCTAGAGGTGTCACCAGGCAGCAATGTAAACACTGCTTTTTGTCTGAAAAGTCAGTGTTTACATTTAAAAGCGTTCAGGGTCAGGATATAGACTTCAGAGCAACTACATTAAGCTGTAGTGGTTCTGGTGATTATAGTGTCCCTTTAAGAATTGTATTTTTGACGTTGATTTCTCTGGCTCCTAACTTTTCTAGCTGGCTGCTAGATTCCAAACTAATTTGTAAAACTGTGTGTGTGTACACACACACACACACACACGTAATCTTATAAATTATTATGGTTATAAAAAAAAAATATATATATATATTATATATATATATATATATATATATATATATATAATATATATATATTTTTTATATATTAACATATGTGTATCATACTGATGTTTGTGTGTATCAGTATATCATACTCTATTAACATATGTGTATCATACTGATGTTTGTGTGTATGTATATATATATATATATATATATATATATATATATATATATATATATACACACACAAACATCAGTATGATACACATATGTTAATAGACATATGCATACATAATACACATTTGGAGATTACACACGTATGTAAATGTAACAAGGGTTTTACATTTTTCAAAGGGTTATTCACTAAATTTCTCATTTTAGAAAGTGAAAATCTAAATTGCGTAATTTAGACCAAAATAGCATATTTGAAAAATCCAAACTTCGCCTTAGTGACAGCTTGAATATTATAGCCTAATTTTTGAAATGTATTCACAAAAATTATTAGTTTAGTCGATAACCCTGCCCTTCTCTCAGTCTTTCATTCCCTGGTATCAAACTATATCCAATGCAGAGTGCACTCATAGGATTGAGGACTAAACAAAATAAGATTAATTTAAATTAGACATGCAGCAGCTATCAGTCAAAGACGATTCAAGTTTTGGGGATGAAACGTAGCCACAAACACTTGCCAAAGTTAGCGTTCATATTCGTTTTTTGCATTTTTTTACACAAAAACTGCACTTTTACTGGTGATTTCATTGTCGTGATAGGTTTTACTGTTTTAAACACCCATATTTGTGTTCAGCGAAGTCTCACGAGTATAACAATGCCCCTCATGTACAGGTTTTATGATGTTTTGGAAAGTTACAGGGTCAATATAGGGTTTGCCCAATTCAGTTTGCCAGATTTGTTACCTTTTGAGACCATATGGTAGCCCATGGCATACGATTTTAAATGTAGGCAACCCAGGGTATTCAACATGGTGTATTTTCAGTCTTTTGTAGTAGCCACTTAGTCACAAACATTGGCCAAATGTAGCCTTTATTTGTTTTTTGCATTTTTTTTAAAACAAAAACTGCACTTTTTCTGGTGATATCATCAGCGTGATAAGTTTTACTTTTTAAAACACTCATATTTGTGTTCATCAAAGTCTACCGAGTATAACAATAACCCCCATGTAAAGGTGTATGGTGTTTTGGAAAGTTACGAGGTTAAATATAGGGCTTGCCAATGAAATTCTCTGGACTGTCTGCCTGGGTTGTCAGGCAGGTCCCTCAAATTATAATTAATAAAATCAAATAATTATGTACAGTAATACCGCGAAAATTTGCGCTTCTTAATCTGCGGCTTCAGGAATTTGCGTATTTTATCCCCAGGGTCCAGCAGATGTAATCCGTAGATTTTTCGTGACCACTGCGAGGAAGGGAGGTCACACGCAATGACGTCGCTTCCTCCTATCGCTCTTTGCAGACGGCCGCACGGGAGGAAAAAGAGAGGAGCTCCAAGGACCAGGTAAGTGCATCGGATGAGGGAGGGGGGGTAAAATCTTTATCATGGACTCACTACTAGTAATAATATTGTCCGTCCAAAATGCGTGCATTTTCAAAATTGGAACGTATCCCCCGCAGATTTCAGGGTATTACTTTAGTTAATAGTTAAATATATATGTAGAGTGTGTGTGTGTGTGTGTGTGTGTCTGTGTATGTATGTATATATATGTATATATATATATATATATATATATATATATATATATACACATATTTGTGTTCGGGGCAAATAGCCGTATATGGAGTAAGGTTCCAGCATAAGTGTAGGATAGTATAAAGGGAGCAAGTCGGTTGTGGTGTGCCGAGACCGATGATACGGTAGGCCTGTAAATAAAGAGGGCCCACCAAGGAGTAAGTAAGTAAAGTAAATGGAAAGAAAAGAGAAAGTGTTGAAATGAGGAGTGGGTGGGAGGGTCATTCTGATGCTGACCTCAAGCGATATGAGTCAGGTAAGGGGTGTCCCTTATATAGGGGAGTGAATTAATTTAAGCCCCTCCCACAAACAGGCCAAATGGCCTTTAAAACTTGTGTTCGGGGCAAATAGCCGTATATGGAGTAAGGTTCCAGCATAAGTGTAGGATAGTATAAAGGGAGCAAGTCGGTTGTGGTGTGCCGAGACCGACGATACGGTAGGCCTGTAAATAAAGAGGGCAAAAAGAATAATCAAAGATTTAATACAGTCAACAATATATACAAATTAACCAGACATTTCCTTAAATGCATTACGGTATTTAATTCCTTGAAGGATTTTGAAGGTAGGAATCTAGGACCGCAACTGGACACCATTTGTTGTGGGTAGGATAGTATGTTATCTCTACTGTTGGTGCGTGTTGACTTGTTTCGGAATGTGGTAGAGCCAATAGGTAATGATATATGTGTTTACATACGTGGGATCGTTGAAGACAATGATCTGTCTGAGTGGTGGTTATGGTAGTGGATTCTCTGGCCTGAGAAAGGCATAAAAGGCAGTGTGCATGGCTGGTAATGGCCGACTTGGTAGTATAATTTAATGGTTTAATAGGTCCGATAAGGATGGAAAAGTTGGATGGCTATTGGTAATCTCTGAGTGTAACGTGGGGGGATGGTATAGTATATTCTTGTCTGGTATGATAGCATGAAGTTATGGTAGTTTTGGCCATAGGTTATCCTGTGTTGTTGAATGCCTGTAAAATATATAATTAATGGTGTGTGAGATGGTTTTAGTTTAAGGTGGCAAAAATGAAGCAAAACCTAGGAGAAATGTTATGACACAGGTTGAGCTATGTCGTGTTCCAATGAGATTCTTTAAAGCCAGGTGAATAGCTGTGTTATGCGTTCTACAAGAATGGGATGAAAGTGCTAGGTGGGATAGTGCATGCTATGCTGCATGAGTATGTCTAATCCATGATTTTGTCTCTGGAACGAAAGAGTGGCCGTGACTGTATGGGCGGCTGTAAGAAGCGTACGATGAACATGCCTGGAATATAAATGAGACAATTGTCGGCAGGGATGTATACCCCCGCCTGGTACATGAAAGTAAAAGAAATGTGGTAAGTGGCCAACCAAGTGAGTTCCCTAGCAATACCATGGTCGTATGGATGATGAGTGGCATTTGTTGATGATATGACATGTGCTTAGTTGAGTAACAATGGATTGATGACCCTGACCATGATTTACCCCATGCCACAGCAGCTGCTTTTAGCGGGGAAAGGATTGCCCATTTTATGCCATGTAAGTGCCAGTTTGTAGGGTAGATGGTAGCAGTTTACTGTGTTGATGATATTGGTCTTACTTAACAAAGCTTCAACCCATGCTTGAGTGATAGCTGTAAAGGTAGAACAATGGTGTGTATAGTAAGGAAACTCCTCGGAGGGTATGAGGGAGTTGAGACTTGGGGTAGCGAAGGTGTGTGGTGCCAATAAGTCTATGGTTAGTCTTTGTTTAAGGGAAGATTCCCTTGTGACAATACCAATGTGTTTGGTGCCATGCTGTAAATGGTGGAGATTGGAAAACCCAAGTAAAAACCCCTCTGCAAATCTTGGCTATGTGTGTGTTTACAGCCGACGGTTCTGTTGTGCTGACTGTAAGTGAGGGCATGTTATATTCCTTGAGGGTTTATTTATGATACATGTATGGGAGCCCTTTGAAGCTCCAGAGCCTTAGTAAATCTACTACAAGTCTGGAAGGATGATGAGTCAGTAGTGTTGAAAATGCATTGGTGTGTACAGATGGTGAGTACGTTATTTGTAAGTTGTATTGGGACACATTGTTTGTCATGTGCCCTGAATGATTTGAACATATATGCAACAGTCTATATGCAATGCAACTACTAATACAAATTGTCTCTGGTAGTTCAGAGGTGCTGGTACCTTGAGCCTGAGAGTGCTCGTCCGTTTGTTTGGGAGAAAATCCCTTCTGTATGGGTACCTGCACAAATAAGCATCTCTACATATTCCAAATGCCAACACAACCAAGGGATGGTCAGTTCCCGATTTACCTAGAATCCCTGGGTCTGACCATCATAGATAAATCATCATACATATATATGCCTTGTTTCCCCAATGTGCCGGGATCATATATGCAGGGTTAACGTCTTGTACCAAGAATTGATTGTACCAGGTAACCGAGTTTCGGTTGGTGCTGGTTGTATAGTAGCGTGAGGCCCAGCCTTGTGAGGGCTGTGACCGACTCGAGATTGCCAGTCTGTCGTAAATTTTTTGGCTCATGAGTTTATGAGTGAGGCTAGCATGGCCTGGGTGTCACCTGAGTTGGTGTTGCTGGGCTTTCCCCTGCCTCCGTGTTGTCCGTTGATGTATGGAGGCGTTTGAATAACTCTGCTTTCCTTGCTGTGGCAGGGTAGGGGATTTGTCGCCTCCTTAGGTCGGAGCCACATCTCCTCTGCTTGAAGGTGTATCACTGCTAGCCGGGGTGCCAGGAAGAGGTGATTCTTCACCATCTTTTTGAGAAATACTTAAATAACAATAAAGATTGCAATTATTATTTGTACCCAGTGGTCTTGTACTGGCTTGCTAGCTAAGCCGTAAGGCGAAACGATTAGGCTTGGTGTTTTTTGGTGACTGGTGAGGCCCTGCTAGTTGCCAAGTGGCTTGAGAGGCTCTATCTATGCTTGGCGCGAGGGGATTTTTTGTGGCCACCGAACGTTGTGGCAGGATGTTGGCCTCTCGGTGACAGTAACCAGAAAATAGGAAGGGGAGTGACAGGTGAGGCCCTCTCTATGATACAATGCGAGGCAGCTAGCTCACGAGTGGCCCGAGCGGTGTATGCCTCCGAGTGTGAGGTGGGGTGTTCTCCTCGCGGGACCACTAACCAAAGCGTAAAGCAGAGAAAACAGGGGGTAATACCTATTGGGCCATAGAACCCTAATTGCCAGTACATTACTACTACTCCAGGGAAAGTAAGAGATGAAGGTGTATCACTTCTAGCCGGGGTGCTAGGAAGAGGTGATTCTTTACCATCTTTTTGAGAAATACTTAAATAACAATAAAATTGCAATTATATATTTGTACCCAGGGGTCTTGTACCGGCTTGCTAGCTAAGCCGTAAGGCGAAACGATTAGGCTTGGTGTTTTTTGGTGACTGGTGAGGCCCTGCTAGTTGCCAAGTGGCTTGAGAGGCTCTATCTATGCTTGGCGCGAGGGGATTTTGTGTGGCCACCGAACGTTGTGGCAGGATGTTGGCCTCTCGGTGACAGTAACCAGAAAAATAGGAAGGGGAGTGACAGGTGAGGCCCTCTCTATGATACAATGCGAGGCGGCTAGCTCACGAGTGGCCCGAGGGGTGTATGCCTCCGAGTGTGAGGCGGGGTGTTGGCCTCGCGGGACCACTAACCGAAGCATAATGCAGAGAAAAAAGGGGGTAATACCTATTGGGCCCTAGAACCCTAATTGCCAGTACACTATTACTATTCCAGGGAAGGTAAGAGATGGATAACTACGTGAGCAGGTGTATGTACCTGGTAGTATGGTATTGAACCTGACAATCCGTATAGGTTTTTTAGTAGTAACTGTAACCTGAATGGATAAAATCGTATGGCATAAGGAAATATGGCATAGACCAAGCTTATCTTAAAACATACAGTATATGTGAAAGTAAAGTGCCGTGATATGTAAATATTAAACATCATATCCATACTGGTTAAATATGTATCAATCTTAACCCATTAAGTGCCGTATGTATGTGAACCATATTACCAGTTACGTATATACAGATGCGTGTGCTACTGTGTAATAATATGTGTATTTATAACAGATGTTGATATACTGCTTGCTATGTGAATTGTTGTTTGCCTTATTGAATGGTCAGTGAACATGGTGTTGCAAAATGCAAGTGCACTGGAGATCTGCCGAGTGCCCTATAGGAGGCAGTGTAGTTGATACTGATTGGTATGTGAAATGTTGTTTGTCTGTTGACCTATAGGGTTCAGTGTTTTGGTGTTTGTAAAACCCCATGAAAAACCCCATGAAAATTGTCAATGTACTTGACAGACCTGTAGGTGGCAGTGTTGATAGAACTACTGTTAGTCTTGATGTGAAATGTAAATTATTGTGAATTAAACCTGAAGTTGAGCCCGTGTTGGAGTTTAATTTATGGTTTATGGTTATGTTTAAAACAATCTTATGTGTAATTTATATTGGCTGATAATTGTATATGACATGTGAAGACAGTTTTGCTGTTGACCAGTAGGGGTCAGAAATGCTGATTGTATGGTAAAATATCCTTTAACCCTGAAGGATACATGACATGTGTGACATATCATGATTCCCTTTTATTCCAGAGTTTGGTCCTTAAGGGGTTAATCCAAATGCAAGGTTAACGTGAGATTTTGAGAGTGACCTGTAGGAGTCAGTGTGGTTTATGTGAAACATTGTTCATGAGCTATGGCCCAGCATTGTATGACAGGGAAACAAACAGTGCCCGTTTGACAATATACAATAAGTGAACATAATAGCTTAATAACAGTCATTGTAACAAACCAAAGTTCTGTTCGTGGGTTGTAAACGCACAAAACTTTGTGTAGTACAATAGTAAATGCATAAACTAGTTCCCGTTTGGTAGAAAATTGCACGAACCGTGAGCCTAGTATGTCAGGGAAACAAAACGAAACGAGCAGTGAGATTCGAAATGCACGCACAGAATTGCCTAGTATGTTTAGGCAATTGAAACAGAATGTGTTCCCATTTGGGAGTATGCTAATGCTCGAAATGAGCCAGTGACAGATATAAACAAGTGAATTTAAACGAATGATATGCATGAACATCCAATGGTTTTAGGACAGATTTAGACAAAATGCAGCCGTAAAGTGAGGACCTGACCCTTGCATGGTGCCGTGGGACTGATGCCTGGCGTAACGGGTAGGTCGACTTACGGTTTGTGAGTCACTGGGACACCATCCACGGCGATAGATTGAAGAAAGAATGTGAAAGGCCGGAAAAGCCTGTGGCTGAATTCCTGACACAGCTCAGCTTAGAAAACCTCATGGAGTAATCAGGTAAAATGGCGTCTGGATGACCCGGAAGTGGAAATCATTCTGATGCTGACCTCAAGCGATATGAGTCAGGTAAGGGGTGTCCCTTATATAGGGGAGTGAATTAATTTAAGCCCCTCCCACAAATACAGGCAAACGGCCTTAAAACATATATATATATATATATATATATATATATATATATAAAATACACAAATCCCCTGCACTCACGCTTTTGGTACTCCAATGCCGGGCGCACTACCAGAGCTCCAATAGATACAAACTCCAAGTAAGAAAGGCTGCTTTCCAGTCTTTAAAACTAAATAAATATAAAACTAAATAAAATGTTTGTTTTTTTGAAATTTATATTATATAGTTTTATATATATATATATATATATATATTAAATACATGTGTGTGTGTGTGTATATATATATATATATATATATATATATATATATATATATATATATATATATATATGGTGATCACATGGTCCTGGAGGGCTGCGGTGGACGGAGCTGATGCAAAGGGACTGCTGTGGTCTCGGGCAGTCCCCCCGACCGGGATCACCGCAAATCGCAGGTCCAGATAAGTCCGTGGGTACGTCCGCGGTCGTTAACGGACGGTTTTTGATGGATGTACCCAGTATGTCCAAGGTCTGGAAGGGGTTAAATATGATTCTATTAAATAAATAAGACATTCGCACCAATGAAATTTCCATATATCATTTAGTGTATTACTGAACTGATGAATTAAAGCAAAATAGTATAGATTTCAAGGTTAAGGGGACAGTGCACCTAGACTACTTCAATGAGTTGAAGTGGTCTAGGTGACTATAGTGTCCCTTTAATGCAAAAATTACCAAAATGAAAACAATAAATGAACTGGGGATTTTTGGCCTAAATATTTTAATTCCCTTTGAATTCAGTTTAAATTCCCAGCAATTATTATTTTAGTGAATAATTCTGTATGTATTAATGAGGAAATTCCTTTAGAAGGAAGTTGTATACTTCACAGGCCATATGTCTCAGACTACATATTTTCTTTTAGCATTCGAATGGAAAACCAAACTGTAATATGACTACAGTTGTGAGGTGAGGGATGAATTTATGATGCCTGTTACCGCTTAGCGATACAGAAAAAAGAGCTAAGGATGACTGCAAGAGAGCCACCCTTACCCATTTTTATAGCAACTAATTTCTGACAAAAAAAGTTATAATCGTGTAATTCCGTGTAACTCTCTCTGTTTGAAATAATCAAAAGGGGCAATCTTAGCACCATAACCATTACAGCTACAAGAGTCTGTGGGCGCTGTCCCATCCTGTTAGTGTCACATAGTTTGAGAGATTTGATAGGTAATGTTGCTCTCTCGATATCTACAGGCCGTCCCCTTTGCTGTAGCTCAGCTAATGTGGGAGTGGACTGTTAAACCTAGGATGACACTGATGAGGATGAGACTTAGAGCGTGACCTCTGTGGGTATTCATTAAACAAAAGCATGCTTATCAGTTTTTAGTTATACTGCTTGGGGTTGACATAAACTAATGTTATTTCACAATTTTAACTTTTTTAGTCCCAATATCTTTTTTTTTATTAAAAAAACAAAACCACAGAACAGTTTATACCATTAAAATTTCCATATCAAATAATATAACAATTCTTCAGCCTGTTTTGTTAGAATACTTATAATAATGGCTCTTGAAATCTTTGTTATATAAACTGCATTCATATCTTCCACATTCTTTTAGTTCGTGTCAATGGCATCCGCAGGACTTGACCACCATGTTGCGATGCTTTTTTAATATCACATTGTTGTTGTTGTCGTAATACAGGACTGAAGTTGCGCTCAGCTTGGTGGGGGCACAGCAAGCCTTGGGTACACTTTCTGGCTTCATAAGATGAACCTGGAAGAAAATATATCCCTTTTTCAGTACATTTTCTCTAACCTAAGCAGAAGCTTATAGAATAATTATTTAATTATTCTAACATAAACACACTGCACACATTTGCTTATACAAAACCCCAAGAAGTAAAGCAATTCTTACCGCTAAAGAAGGGCCCGATTCAGTCTTTAGATTAGTTTCAGTTTCATGTGAAGATATTGATTTGTTTTCCTTGGCAGTGATTTACATTGGATTCATTATTACCTTGTATTTAGGGTGTTGGTCAACTAAGCAATGTGAATACTAATGTATAGATGGAGCTAAAATCAATAAATCAAAGCAGCTTGTCTTAGCTGCTATTAGATTCTTTTATAGAATAAAATCGTATTCATATTAATCAGAAATATAAATATATATATATATTTTAGTTTGTTATTATTATTTTTTTAATCTTTATTTTCAAAGCCTCTTTCATAGTAATCACAAGTAAAAATGCAGTGAATTATATTGTTGTTGTTTTTTTTCATCACAGGTCCTTTTCCAGGTGGTTTGTTCCATCGGATCAGCATTACCAGAGTTGGCGTCTCCGTCACTTGTTGGTGGCTTTTTGTTGGCCTTGACCTGGGGCCAGCTGATGTACACTGGTTGCCTCCTCTGTGAGTCTTCCCTTTCATTTGTTCTTACATTTGTTCCTTGGTGGTTCTTTTTGATTGGATATTTGGATTGACCTTCTACTGTACACATAATTTTATGTCTGCCATGTAATATTGATTACGAGTCATTCATTGTGATGTTCTTGTGTTTTTCCCCAACTAGGGCCTGCTATGCTGGTAATTTAGGTGGGGGGGGGGAGGTGAGGCGCGGTAGGTTTTATGCTCAGACAACATGATAAGGGCAATTACATACTTCCTTGGGAAGGATTTCTTTTTACTGTCACAAGAAATCTTTAGTTACATTGTGTGTGAGTTTGTATTATATATTTGTGACAAACTGAACCTCGTCACGGGTTCTTGGAGGAGCCTGCTGGCCAGCCTCTTGCCTCAGGACTATGGACCCTGCAATATACCTTGCCCAATGCACTTTAAAAGGCTCTGTTCATGTGAGTTATGTACTTCTGTACTCCAGACAAAGAGACCAACCGTTAGCCCTGATTCCCTGGAACTGTTTTGAGCATAGGACCATGTGCACAGTCAATCAAAAATAAGACTTCCAGGAAATTCCTGAACCCGTAAACTGATCTGGGTGATTTTTGGATATGTTGGTAACCCAAATCAGGGCTATCAGGGGATGTTTGTGGGGGGTTTGTGTGTTTTAAGGTATTTTGGGGGGTTTGTAAAAATGTATGGTTTTTTTTTCTATGCTTGTAGATAATTAGATTAGATTAGTACAGTTCCTGATCCAATTATCTCCCAGGCACAGAGAAGGGATTATCTGATTCTGTATGGGAGTGTCCTGGACCTGAGAGCCAATGTGATTGTGTATTTATTTCCACTGTGGTTTACTCTCCGGTCCAGGGGGAGTGCCCCTTGCATGGGGACTGTCATAAAAGGCCAGTTGTGGCTACCATTAAACTGTGATTCGTTTTACCCTTCATAGTTACATAGTTACATAGCTGAAAAGAGACTTGCGTCCATCAAGTTCAGCCTTCCTCACATTTGTTTTTTGCTGTTGATCCAAAAGAAGGCAAAAACCCCAGTTTGCAGCACAATTTTGCAACAAGCTAGGAAAAAAATTCCTTCTTGACCCCAGAATGGCAGTCAGATTTATCCTTGGATCAAGCAGTTATTACCCTACATTGAAAGATTATATCCTTGAATATTCTGTTTTTGCAAGTATGCATCTAGTAGCTGTTTGAACATCTGTATGGACTCTGATAAAACCACTTCTTCAGGCAGAGAATTCCACATCCTGATTGTTCTTACAGTAAAAAAAAACCTTTCCTTTGCCTTAGACGAAATCTTCTTTCTTCCAGTCTAAACGCATGGCCTCGTGTCCTATGTAAAGTCCGGTTTGTGAATAGATTTCCACACAATGGTTTGTATTGGCCCCGAATATATTTGTATAATGTTATCATATCCCCTCTCCGGCGACGTTTTTCTAAACTAAATAGGTTTAAATTTGTTAACCTTTCTTCATAGCTGATATGTTCCATTCCTTTTATTAATTTTGTAGCCTGCCTCTGCACTTTTTTTAGTGCCACAATATCCTTCTTTAGAACAGGTGCCCAAAATTGCACAGCATATTTAATATGTGGTCTTACCAGTGATTTATAAAGAGGCAAAATTATATTCTCATCCCGAGAATGAATGCCCTTTTTCATGCATGACAATACCTTACTGGCCTTGGCCACTGCTGATTGACATTGCATAATGTTGCATAGTTTGTTGTCTATAACAATTCCCAAGTCCTTTTCGTGTGTTGTTATCCCTAATTCGCTTCCATTAAGGGTATACGTTGCTTGTGTATTCTTTATGCCGAAGTGCATAACTTTGCATTTTTCAACATTAAATGTCATCTTCCATTTGAGTGCCCAGTCCCCCAGTCTATCTAAATCCCTCTGCAGCAAAGTAATATCTTGCTCACATTGTATTATTTTACAGAGTTTTGTGTCATCTGCAAACACTGAAACCTGACTTTCAATGCTGACTTCATGAAGTCTAGGCTCATGTTTGGGGGATTGGAGAGCTATATTCACTCTGGGGATTGCTATACTTACCATACTCCCTTGGATCACAATAATTGCTCTTGTAAGAGCAGCCTGCTCCGCTCTCTGGACTAGGAGAGGTCTACCCACTGGAAGCTGGATGCTGGTCATGGGTCCAGGGTGGGTGGAGGACAGCGAGACTCCAACCAAGCTGCGGCGGTTTGTGGGGTTTACGATGATTATGGTGTTCCAGTGCGGTGCTAATGGTGCTCGCAAGTACTAGGGAGCAGCGATTGACGGAGGTACCCGGTCGGGGTGCCAGGCGGTCTATCACAATATTAATGCATTTCAAATAGTGTCCTTTCAGTCTGCCTTGCCATTAATATCCCCCAAGAGGATATTTGGTCCCATGTGAGCTAGGGATATTGCTCTGGATATGGATTAGTAGCAAAACTGGTTTTCCCTGGGGCTGGAGCCATCATATTCCGGACCAGGTCTGCATACTTCAGTTCTCCAGTTATTCACAACTCTCCATTCTTTAATTTCTCTTCTGCTTTTTTATCTTACCTACTCATTGTTCCCTTCTTTTCCAATCCCTCTTCTCTCCCTTCACCCCTCCCCCTTTTTTTCTTTTTATTCTCTCCCTCAACATATTAAGGTAGGAGCCCATGCAGACCCTGCCAGTCCCCTCGGACCTCATTCTGGTTTTGGTTAAGGCCTGGGACCTGAATGTCCTTGAAAAATGCTCCAGTTTACTAAGGGATCTTAAGGTACACAGGTTTATGGTGCACTTCAGAGGGGAGATCGCTCCTGTCATATGGGACCGAAATTACCCTGTTGACTTTTACGGTGATAGTCCGACTAAAAAAGCTATTGGGGTGGCCATCTTGCTTTCTAAACATGTTCCAGTTACCGACCAGACAGCCACTAGAGGCACGTTCTGCTTTCTAGATGACAGCCCCCATTGTATGAGAATTGAGTCACCATTCTTTAGACCTTGCCAGTACACATGGAGCTTGAATGATTCCATTATTTTCGAATCTTCGATAGTTGATGATATACGGAAAGCCATACAGAACTATGTGACACATAATCGTAGATCAAAAGCCTTTAAGCCTTCCTTATGGGAAGCACGCAAATCAGTATTACATGGATATTTCACCGTACTGTGTTCCTGGTGAAAGAAACAACATACACAACAAATTGTAGACATAAACCTGGAAATTGCGGACATAGAGAAACATCACAAACGATCAGGAGATAATGCAATTTACACATATAAAGCCAAAGGAGTGCTGCACACAAGTAAGTTTACGTGGGAACTCTGTGGAGGGGGTACGCAGCCCACCAGGAACAAAAAGAAAAAGAGATCCACAGGCGTCACAACGTAGGGTGAAGGCAAAAAACTATATTTATTGGAGATCAAAAAGTACAAAAAAAGTTAGAATGTTTCGGCCTAAAGGCCTTAATCATGTATGGATATAATTTACACACAGTTCCTTCTAAAGAGGTCAATTAACAATGAAAGACAGAGTTATCTAGACATCACTGTCTCAGAATACCTGAGTTCTGTAACTTTACAGAGTATCCAACCAATAGAGGTAGAGGCACTGGAAGAACCAATCAAGCTAGAGGAATTGAGTTTTGATTTGAAATCTTCTAAAACCCCAGGACTGGATGGGTTCCTGTTACTGTATTACAATACATTATATTTGGAATTGAGCCCTTTACTGCTTGAGGCTATTAATTGTGCCATCGCTACACTTTAATTCAGCTATTATCACTTTTTTGCCAAAAGAGGGGAAGGACTCCACAGATTGCGCCAGTTACCATCCAATTTCAGTACTAAATGACCTAAAGCTTCTATCGAAGGTTCTAGTGCAATGTATTTCACAATCCTTACCAACTCTGCTACACTAAATCAGACAGAATTTATCCCTGGAAGGGAAGTCATGAACAACATTAAAGTCTTGAACCTGATCCACTGGGTAAAAAAAGAGGGAGTCCTACTTCCATGGAAGCTGAGAAGGCTTTCAATTGCGTGAACTGGGACTTCATGTTGCCACTTTAAGGGAGTTCGGCTTGGGTTCCAAGTTTTTGACTTAGATATGAGCCTTATATACACATCCTTTGGTGAGACTCCATATAAACAGGGCATTATCTGATCCCTTTGAGATCCCAAATGGTACTGAACAGGGGTGTCCGCTGTTCCCACTTCTGTATACCATGTCCGTAGAGCCATTCATTTGTCGAATTAGAGATGAGGAGGGAGTGGAGGGACTAAAGGTTGGAGAGGTGTCTGAAAAAGTGATAGTCTATGCTGACGATCTATTGTTTTCTAATGCCCACTTTGAGAGCAATGCTGTATGAGTTTTTGACCTACGGAGCTATTTCCAACCTTAAAATTAACTATACAGGGGTTTTTCCCCTATATGTGTATATGATTTTAGATGGAGAGATCATTTTAATTCCTCCCCCACCACCACCCATTTTCACTTTTTCTTTTTTATACCCTTTCTCTTGAAATTCAATAAAAAAAATATTTGAAAAGATAATTAATAGATCATTAATAAAAATCATCAATATTTTTCAATCCTAATGTCTCACCAGTGACTGCAGTATGGCATGATTAGTGGCATTCATACAGGAGTCAAGTGGAAATAAGCATTCTCCTTCGCAGTAAAAAGCAGAGTACCCTGGGGGCGCTATTACCCAGTCCTAGAAACACAAAATATAATGCAAAGTGATTAGTACATAGCATACCCATGAGTTATTTATATGGTAATTAATTACTTTATGAAATAGGGGTTTTACCAGCCATCCCAAGTCCCGAAAGCTGACGTACAACTCATGCCTTTTGCACACCTGTCTTCCATCATTGACATGAACGTGATCTGAAAATGATAAACACCCCAAGAACATTTAACAAGGTATTTTTAGTAAATAATTAGAAGGAACACTCCAAGTACTAAAACCACTATAGCCTCCCAACTGGTTTTATTTCTTACCTGGGTCCACCTGGTACAGCTCTCTGCCTCCACTACTAATGCCAGAGAGAGACGGAAGTTTATAAGCAGGAACTTCAGTTAGCTCTCATGAGCAAAATTAATGTAAGTCCTTGCTCAGGAACATCCAGCATTAATAGTGGAAGCAGGGAGTGCCACCCAGTGGCCCCCAAGAAAGAAGTCAAACCATCTGAAAGTGGTTTGACTACTTACAAAAGGGAAAGGGGGGCACTAGGGTACTCTTGGCACCATAACCAGTACAGGGAGCAGTAGTGGATATGTGTATTAGTAGCAAAGGAAGAATGCAAGGGTAAATGTTATTACAAATTAAATACATACACTTAAAGCTTCTTTTTAAAATTCATGTTCCTTTAATTATTCTGATTTTGGGAAAGACCAAGGAGAAAGAGAATAGTCTTGGTTATCTCCTTATTAATGGTGGCTCAATTTTGTAAATGCATTTATTTTGCTTCAAAAATTCTTGACCTGCCACGGAACAAAAAACACTCTTCATCGATGAGTAATTCAGCGTCTATTTGGTATAATTCAGGTCAATTTGATGTTTCATTGTTTTCTAAATTTCATCCAGATTCGTTCTAAAATGTATCCAATTGCCATAGGCTGAATTATTGCTGCCAATTCGGGATTAATAAAATGGTCAGCAATGTGTTGCTAGTACCCAGAGCAGCTATGGTAATCATGTTCACAGTACTTACCAAAAATACCAGGAAGCTTGTTGGGGTGGGGCAGATCACTATGTTTTTTCTGTTGCCTTTTTTTGAGCTGTTTGACTGCCCGTGTAGATCGGATCTGATTACTACCGGCTCGGAAAAATGTGACCATGAATGGTTGCTTGGAACGAGGTGCACGTCTCCCTAAGATGCCAGCTGAGCTTGGATCAATGCTCTGACCTGTTACATGAACCAACATGCACATTGTTAGACATTCATAGTGCCATTCTAAATAGTGACTTCTGCTACTGGTAGGATCTACAAACAGTCCCATCACCAGAGACTTGCTGAGAGCTTTGTCAGATCTTCCAGTTTGGTATATCAAATGATTGTCTTATTGTTATACAAATGTATCCTGAGTATTTGTTATGACCAGTTTATAATGTTTTAACATAATTGTGATGCACATGATTTTCAGTATGATAAATTACATTTGTAAGTGGTTTTCATGTTTATTTGACCAAAACCTACATAAATATAACACACTTGGTTTTACAATGACATCATGTTCCCTTGTTTATTTGTGGATGCATAATGAAAGACAACCAAAGAAAAGAACATAAAACTGCCACTTAATGTTTCTTCACCTTACCATCATCAGTCTCTACATACAGACGGATTCCTAAATTATATCTGGAGTTCCGTAACCAGTGATTACTGGCAGCTGTGACATCAAAAACCAACCACCCTTCATCTCCTGCCAAAATACCTTCTTGGTCCAAAAGGGTTAACCCAGGTTCCCTAAAAAGAAAAAGGGCAGATACCTCAATGTAGACTCTAAACTAATATGTTACTGCAAATTTCACAGGGTTATTAAAAAGAAAAAGGAAAAAAAAACAACAACCTGTGGGAATGTTCTCTTGTGATTTGGTAGACACTAATGTGAAGTGTCCTATTAAAATGCCGAGAAAAGCTGTGGGTTTTGAAAAGTCTAAATTCTGCTGCAGCCACTGATTCTCCGGTGGGTACTTGAGTCATGTCAAACTTAAACTCCTTCCAGTATGGTTTCTGTTGGAATATATCTCTGTCGTTTTCAACTGGAAAAGAAATGTGAGAGTTTTGGTTTGTCTATACATTATATTAATTTGTAATATTACCATTAATGCTAGAATACTAGAATGAATTAGGTTTTGGTAGGAAAACGTTACTGTATTATATGAAACTATGGGGGATATTTATCAAAGTGATCTGTTCTAAAAAGTGGTCTAAAGTACTAAATGTAGAGCAATCACCATGAAAACAAGAGGAGCAAGCAGGTACATTTCATTAGTAATTCTCCCCTTTTGCATTTTTGAACCACTTTGTAGACTAGAACTTTGACAAATATCCCCCTTTCTAACTTGGAACCAGAACTGCTATATCAATGCAGGTGAAGGATATATCTCTTAATACCTGTACATGTTCCATTTGTATGATCTGCTTTTTTTGTTTTTAGTAAATATAATTTTTCATTTTCATTTTGAAGACATTTTCAATCTTAAACTTGAGTGGACATGCAGGTCCCTAAATGTGATCATTGCAACTGGTCTTGCAGAACCCAAAACCGGCATATATAGCAGATTATTACAAGACTCGCAGGTCCCTGTGAAGTGGTGAATTACAATTGGTAATCATGTCAGCACTTCACAAACAACTGTACTACTCATCAACGTAGCTCAAGACAGTTTTGGAACATAAAGATACAAATGTATTAGACAATTGCAGGTTATAGAAATTGTCTTAGTGGCTCTCAGACAGCAGGTGATAATAGGCCTACATATACCCATCCCCTCCCCGTTCTTCGGACCCCGTGCCAATTGGCTATCACATGTTTGAAACAAATTTTGTACTGGTGATTAGAAGTCATATTCAAAGTAGAGCAATACTGTGTCCTAAGAGCTAAGCACCATTTTATATAATACATATTAGTCTTTGTTTTTTATGTCTGAGAAGACAAGTGCACATGGTATATGCAGATCCCAATGATTATTGGGATTTGTGGGTTCGCAGGACCCAATTCCTGAACATAAATAAAAACAATACAGAACTCGCAGGTCCCCACTTAGAAACATTTAAATAACAATAACACCAGGCACCCTTGGTTTCACAGTAGCATGGCCCCTACACAGGAGAGAAGAAATAGAGAGAAAGAGAAAAATAACAAAAACACACAATGATATACACAGTTAGGACCTGTCATTTGATCTGCTTTTTATATACAATAGGGTATATCAGGGTATCTGAAGCTTTTCCACTGTAAAGCAGTAAAGAGAACATACTAAATAAAAAACTAAATACAGAGCACACAGTAAAATTATTTGCCAATGATGCTCATGTTTGTAAAGATAGATGTAAGCAGGCAAAAGTAACTATTTGCCTGGAAAAAAAAGTTTGTGACTTTGGAAGCTGTACTGGTGTCCCGTACATAGACTAGGTACCATGACCTCTAGCAGGGAAACCCTGCACCTAAACCTGGTCTCTATCAAAATTCCCCTGTTTGCTTTAACCACTCAGTGTATATATGCCCCCAGTACCTTAAATTAAATATGTTTTTCAGTGTCTCTGAGATTTTCCATCATTGACCGCTACCTAGAAGAATACAGTTCTAGGAACAGCTAGTATACTGTGAAGAACCCTCAGTTTCCCAGGCCTCTGGTAGAGGACTCGAGAATGAGGAATATACTACCCAGAAGGGGTGACAAAAACAATATATATATATATATATATATATATATTATATTTAGTTATACATGTATTGCTTTAATATTGATTGCTGGTTAGATCATTTGGTGGATCTGAGAACTACTAATACTAAAGGTCCTTCCCTTACAACAAAACATATCAAGATTCATAAAGAAACTGATGCAGTACAACCTTCACAGCACAACCTTTTTAACATCAGTTTCTCTGTGTGGTGTCAGCCTGTTATTGGCTACCTTTCTCTCATCTGCTATTAGTGAGGACATCTTCCAATCATTCACTGGATATAAATAATGATGTACAGGTCATTCAGAAAGTATTCAGACCCTTCATTTTTTTACATGTTTTGCAGCCTCATCCTGCAGATGTTTTTTTAAACCAAAATTCACTCAGTACCCCATATTGACAATGCAAAAAAAAGTTAGCAAATTTATTCAAAAAGCCATGAGATCAAAGGGATGGCTGCAGAATGCTCTGATTGGTTGGCTTGCAAATCAGAGCACTCTAATTAGAATTTAAAATGTGGGAAAGCCTTTATAAATGTTTTTTCCGCCTTTAAGCTCATTCTGAATGAAGCCCCTGCAAACCGAAGAGGGATCTATGTTGATTGTGTTGCATTTTTTATATTTTTTCATCAGTTTTTTTTTTTTTTTGCAAATCTGGTGTTTTTTTATATTTTCAATAGTTGTGTTGTGGTATTATGGATTTTAATTTGGCCTTTTTTAGGGCTGAAGAAAAAGGTTTTACAAAAACGAAGACTTTTGAAGACTTCTGATGGGATATATATATATATATATGTTTAATTTGCAGGAATTAGTTTAATGTCCCCCACTATAATTAGGGTGCGGTGGGTAGGTAGGCCTAATTTATTTTAATGAGGGGTGTCTAAGGGATTGGGAAATCCTAGCCACCTAGGGGAGGAGGCATTTGCAGATATTTGGTGGGCGAGTAGACAATGCCATTGTATAAATATAATATAAATATAAGTGTCATGGAGCCGCGGGCGGCGAGGAGGGGAGGCAGCACGCCACTTGCAGCACTCACCCTCAGTCCATCGCCGCCCGCGGTCTCCTCTCTGCTTACCTGTCGGCGAGCAGCCAGCGTCCTCCACGCCCCCCAGCGGCAGCATGTATAACGCTGCACGCTGGGAGGTCCAGGAGTTAAGTAAACGCCGGGGTCACGTGAGTGACCCGGCGTTAAAGAAACAGTACCACAATCACAGTGGGGGGTATAGATATCCCCCACGTGTGATTGTTAATTCTGATTGGAAGTTATCCAATCAGAATTAAACCTAGGGTATTTATACTTACCTTTCCTGTCCCTCAGTGCCCTGTTGTGGTCTTGTGATCATGTAGCGTAGTGTTCTCGTCTTGCTCTCTGGTTACTGATTATTTGGCTCGTTATTCCGATTATCCTGTCTTCTCCACTCCTTTGACCTCGGCTTGTTTCTCGTTCTCCCGTTTTCTGGCTCCCTTTACCTGGCTTGTCTCCTGACTATTCTTAGCGTGCTTAGCCCGGCCACTCTAAGGTCCGGTACGGCACCTTTTCTGTGTGTGTGTGTGTGTGTCAGCGTGTTAGGTTCCCCGAATCGTGACAATAAGAGCCCTCACCCATAGGTCCCCTGCCCTTATATTATATAAATAGAGCAATTACCCACAGTCCATGGATGGGAACTGTGGGGATACAACACACCCCCTTGAAAATTATAATTAGAATCTGCCTTCTATTGGTGGGGACATTAGGATATTCCCCATTTTTTTTATTTTTTTATTTTTTTTATTTACTAGCCTCAACTCACATGGGGGACCTGCAGGGTCCACAGTGATTTATCTATCCACCATGATTTCATTTAAATTCCCCCACCCAATGCCCATGGCAACTTTGCTCTTCCCCTTGTTATTTTACAGGTTGGCCTTTCTATCAACTGGAGAGCAATGGCAATGCTTAGGAGCTATGTCCTCATTTACCGCAATGTCCCCACCCGTCGCCATGTCACAATTTGTAGCAAGCACTGCCACATACTTAACCTACATATTGCCAAAGGTTTTGTTTAACTATTTGCCCACTGGTAGCGCAAATAGTTCAGATTTTTCAAATACAGACCCAGATTTTAACAGTGACCATATTAAGGCACATTGGGAACCTGCAACTCAAAACCCTGAGATTGTAAAATAGTGTAAACAATGTCCAGATTTTGCTTTCCCAGTAGTCCCATATGTAGCCAGATGGTTTTTGTCATGTTCGGCACAGGGCTATTTGGACTTTATTGAATAACCAAGTTAGTTTAATACCTTTAACTAAGAAACATAGAAAATCTCTCTTTGCCTTGCTGATAAGCGGTTCTGAAAAGATTTGCATTTTCCTTCTTTTTGGTGTAACACAATTGAAAATGTATTTAGCCCTTAAGAAGAAAAAAAATATGAATACACTATTTTTTAAGTTTGAAAAGGATATGATCATGGGTCATTAAATTCCTCCACTAGTAATGTCTTACATTCTATTGTTGTATCCAAAAGACCATTCTGGACCCAATAACCTAGAACTAGGCTCTCATTCACCATAGGGCTCTAATCTGTTCCTCACTGGTGAACCACTGGTGTACATTTATTTCAAGGATATTGTCAGAGGATAAAGACTTTGTGGATAACATCAGAATGACACGTGTTGGGATATTTTGGATTTGAGAATGGCACAAGTGAACTATACTATATAAGCACTTGTAAGCATCACAATTACTTTTCAGAGAATCTAAAGGGATTTCAAGCTAAACCCAACAGTTTGTTTTGCATGTAATCCTTTTATGAAGATAATGCTCATGAAGCTTAGCTTAGCTCTCCTTGGTTGTGGAGGTGGGGAGCGGCACCTGGCAAACACCAGGTGAGATGTCAAATTGTTCAAAAACATGAAACCCTGGCCTCGGTGAGCCCCCGAGTCTGTGGCTCACAGGTGCTGGCCTTCCTTATGGCCTGGGGCTAGAGGGCGCCCTCACACCACTCGCTCCTCGCCCAAACCTTGGGGACAGTGCAAGCACAAACTGCCTTGCCACCCCGCAGTGGAGTCGGCTGAAGAGCATCTGTTGTTCCGCAGGACCTGCCCGCAGACGCCCTTGGCATTGAGCTGCAATACCTATAAAGAACAACACTTGGACTGTCCATGTTGCCTTCCACGACTTCAACCACTTCTTTAACCAGTTTTCACCTTGCATTGCCATGATGGACTGGCGGTTCTTATAGCCTGTTTCATAGCCTACTATAGCCTGGTTTAGTATAATTCTGGTTTTATGTACAGTGCATGTTCTCAGCCTTCCATTATATTAGTTAAAGAGCACTACAAACTGGGCACACTCTTGTGACTAGCTAGTATCAGGGAACGTTATTAAAGTAAGTTAAGCTACTATAGTTGACCTATGTGTAGTTAAGCATGTTTCACCGATTGCCTACTTCAGGATTTTATGAATCTTTAGCCGCAGCTAGCTAACACTTTACTTTTCACTGTGTTAATAACTTAGCATGTCACTAACTGGATCTTATGAACCACAGCTTGCATTTTCAATATAAAAGTGTTTTTATCTCATGGATGCTGACTCACAATACGTGCAATCATATCACCTACTCCATCACTCGCATGACGCAGTGAAAGCCATACCTTGTAACTCGCCCCACATTACTGCTTGACTTAACATACTATAACAAGACAGGCTAGCAAGGTGTACCTGCAGCCTTTGCATCCCGAGACGAGACGGAAGGATAGAGAATATGACATGTTCAGAACTTGAGCCTGCCCATAACCTACACATTAAGTTTTCCTACACAGACCCGCACACACACATATTTCTCTCGACTTTCCACCTCACGTTTCAAAGCTGAGACAAGCCAGGGAGTTTAAACCTGTGTTTATTGTGGTCTTGCTTTAGTTTAACAACAAAATAATTAAAAACCTGAGGCATCATTAACCTGGAAATGTAATTCTCTAATGCTCAATGATGTATTAATCCTATGCTGTAAATCAATCGTACATTTCCCCTACCTTTTCTTCTGTATCCCATCTTATATGCCTTTAATAAAAGAAAGATTGACAAAAACGTGAAGACTTTATTAAAATTCATGTGTTTTTTTTTTTTTTTAATTCTTCTATTTTTACATTGGCAAAATGGTGCACCATGTCGCCATACTCACACAATAAGAAGAAACAATAACAAAATCTGGATGGGGCAACACCTGAGTCAGTCAAAAATGTATTACATTAATACATAAATAAAATAGTGATGCATCATACCAATGCACTTTGACAAAGGTTTCAACAAAACCAAAAGTAGTTGAACAAAACACAACATACAGACAGAAATGAAAAAGTATGTGTTTCAGATAGGGCGATATGTCACCATTGAATGCCTGTGAGCTCTGAGTGATTAGTCAAAGTTGAGAACCATTAAAAGGGGATAAAAGTGAAGTGACTAGGATATACGCTCTACCATTTCTTGTGTTCATATCTCATAAAAGAAGAAAAAAACAATAGTGGATGAAAAAAGGAAGATTAAAAAGAGGTAAGTGTCAGGATTATATTGATCGAGCACACATAATAGCATGGGCGTCCGCAGGAATTTTTCCAGGGGGGAGGGGAGGGCATAATTGTAATGACATCCATGCTTGGTCCCTTTTTGACAGTGTCATGAAAGGGAAGGGGCATAGTCATTATCACATAAAGCCAGGGTGAATAGCATTTTCACAACTATGGTGTCACGAATACATGTTTGTATTCCTGACACTATAGTGTTCCTTTAAGCAAATTAAAGGAACATACTGGTCACCATGACAACTTCATCTAAATGAAAATGCTATGATGCCAGGAAGCCCCTGGGTGCTCTCTTACCTTTAAGGAGTTAAACCGCTCTCAAATGGTTTAACTCCAAAGGCTTCCTCCAGCTCCAGATCTCCAGGTCGCTAAGTGGTATTTGGCTTCTGAAACAGAGTGTCAGAAGTGCAGATTGACATCAGACATGGGTGATGCAGAATGGCTAGAGTGGACAGTTGACGCTCTAAGCCAATCGCTAGTTCCCGGTTCATAAAAATGTTTTACGTTTTTATGATTGGGGAGCTACTGATTGGCTTAGAGTGCCAGGTGACAGCTCTAGCCAATCAGCAACACCCCTACCCAGCAGCACTCTGTGCTTCCTGACACTCAGTAAATAAAAGTGAACACATTAACACTGATATTTTTTTACCTGGGGAGATGAGGTCCAAAGTTTCCCTGCCAGGCCCAGGTACCAAAGCCTTATGATGTGGTGTCCATAATAAAGTGGAGGGTTCACTTCATTTGTCCTTCCTGCTCCAATCTCCTTTACTTCTCCTTCATTTGACAGAGTCTTCTTTTTCTTCTGACACTGTCTTCTGTCCTCCTTGGCTCCTCCTCCTCCTTTACCTTTCTGCTACTTTGTTTATTTTGCGCCCTTCTGCTCCTTTCTCTTTCTGATCCCTTTCTGCTCCATGCAGACCCTTCTGCTCCTTCTCCTACTTTACCTTTGTGCTCCTACTGATTCTTTCTGCTCCTTTACCTTTATGCTCCTAATGTCCCTTTCTGCTCTTTGCAGACCCTTCCTTCTCCTGGCAGACCCTTAATGCTACTTGCTGCCCCTTGCAGACTGTTCCTGCCCTTTGCCGCCCTTTCCTGCTCCTTGCAGACCCTTCCTGATAATTTCTGCTCCTTCTCCTACTTTACGTTTGTGCTCCTTCTGCCCCTTCCAGCATATTGCTGACCCTTTCTGTTCCTTGATGTTCCTTCCTGCTCATTTCTGTTCCTTCTCCTACTTTACCTTTGTGCTCCTTCTGTCCCTTCCTGTTCCTTGCTGCCCTTTCCAGCTCCTTGCTGACCCTTTCTGCTCCTTCTACTTTACCTTTGTGTTGCTTTACCTTCCAGCTCCTTGCTGCCCCTTCCTGCTCCTTGCTGACCCTTCCTTCTCCTTGCTGACCCTTCTGCTCCTTGCTGCCCCTTCCTGCTCATTTCTGTTCCTTTGTGTTCCTTCTCCTACTTTACCTTTTGTGCTCCTTGCTACCCCTTTCTGCTCATTTCTGTTCCTTCTCCTTTCTGCTCCTTCTCTTACTTTACCTTCCTGCTCCTTGCTGACCCTTCCTGTAGGCTGTCTCCCCCATCCCTCACTTACCTGATCTATAGGCTGCCTCCCCCATCCCTCACTTACCTGATCTGTAGGTGGATCCCCCCATCTCTCACTTACCTGATCTTTATGCTGCACCCCCATCTCACTTACCTGATCTATAGGCTGTCTCCCCATCCCTCACTTACTTGATCTATAGGTGGATTCCCCCATCTCCCACTTACCTGATCTATAGGCTGTCTCTCCCCCCCATCCATCACTTATTTGATCTATAGGCTCTCCCCCATCCCTCACTTACCTGATCTATATGCTGTCCCCTACCCACCATCCCTCACTTACCTGATCTATAGGATGTCTCTCCCTCCCACTTACCTGATCTATAGGCTGTCTCTCCCCTCCCCCTCCCTGATCTGTAGGCTGCCCCCCATGCCTCACTTCCCTGATCTATAGGCTGTCCCCCATGCCTCACTTCCTTGATCTATAGGCTGCCCCCCATGCTTCACTTCCCTGATCTATAGGCTGACCCCATGCCTTACTTCCTGATCTATAGGCTGCCCCCATGCCTTACTTCCCTGATCTAAAGGCTGCACCCATGCCTCACTTCCTGTGCTATAGGCTGCCCCCCATGCCTCACTTCCCTGATCTACAGGCTGCCCCCCCATGCCTCACTTCCCTGATCTATAGGCTGCCCCCCATGCCTCACTTCCCTGATCTATAGGCTGCCCCCCCATCCCTCACTTACCTGACCTGTTGGCTGCCTTTGTAGTCTTGGAGATGCTGGCTGCACTCTGTGCTTCTCCCCTGCGAATTCAGTCAGTAGAGAGAAGCAGGGAAAAGATGTAGCTTCCTATCCCTGTCTCTCTCCATACACAGCGCATATAC